ATATATATATATATATATATATATATATATATATATATATAACCAAAGAAAGAGTTATCTGTTTTACTTCAACATTTTTTACGAGCTGCATGGTCCAGCAAAGCTTTCAGGAATACGATCAGTATAAGTGGACACATTCTAATGTCACTTATTAGTCACTAAATTTTCCTAAAGGCCAGCAAATCACTATGGAAACAAAGTGACTTTTTCAATTGCAGTTTCTTTCCTACGGTCATCCTTTCGTTCAATTACCACTCATTAAAAGTTTTTGACACCCATCTATCACATTACGCGTTTAATTTTTAGAATCCCACTTAACGTTAGCCATAATTAATGCTGTTCACATTGTCTTATTCTAGATTTATTTCAAAGCAGTTTGATACTTTCGACGACATCGAAGTGTCGAGTCGTATTTCGGTAACATAGCATTAGTTAGAGGCGTGCAGCGGCACACACATAGTGGCTGTTTCAATCCTGGGTCCAGGGCACACCAAGATCTCCGATCCTAGCCCGGCGAATTGGTACCATAGTTGTCGCGTACCATAAAAAGGCTAACGGATACATAGTAGGCCCCACAAGTCGCTTTTTGCGTCAAATGCGCACTCAATAACCTCCACAATCGTATAAATGGAAGCGAATGCATTGCACCTCTCTAAACGATTGATCAACTCCTAACGATTTATTTTCAGCGCTCTAAGGCAATGGTAGTAGTAGTAACCCAGGTGTCTTTCGCAGGAAAGCAGCAGTTTTTCGTGAAGATCCGGTTTCATTTTTACTTCATTCCTTCGTCTTTCTTAATACAGCAACCCATCACTGCAAATACATCTATAAAGTGATTATCAGCCACCGACAACCTATCAAAAGAATGGTATTTCTCCTAGTCCAATGCTTCTTTTCAATAAATTCCAGTGCCATCATTTTCACTAAAATATCTTTTTCTTAGTACAAGTGCGCTCTTTTCCTGTTCACTCTGGAGAGTAAAAAGATAGTCACTAGCATCTCTAAACGTTGAATACAAATCATTTTGGTTTTAATTTACCACTTTTCTCCCCAGAGAATAGCGTGTGCTGGAAATCACTTGTCTTTTTGGGTCGTATTAACTTTAGAGAAGTCGTTCAGGAAACATTGAAAATACGGGCATTATCAGTGGGCCCATTCCCTGAGAGGAGAAGAAAGCATCTCTGTCGAACATACTTGAAACAGAACAGAGTTTCTTAACGTTGCGAAATAGATTGTCGACGTTCTCTAAAACTTTGAAATGTGACGCTAAGATATAGGTTGATATTCATTAAAACACAGTCTTAACCTTTTTATTTGCTACCTATTCATTTTAACAGCAGGGTATTTTACGAAATATAACTACTATAATGCTGAGATATTTGCAAAACTCCGGACCGCACGTGTTTGCGGTGGGAACGAACGCACTATTGTCCTTTCCGGGGAGTAACGCGTCCACCACCACACCATGCGGGTCCTTCGTTTCTCTTGTCTCTCAGCTAGTTCTGTCGATCTCTGCTATCAGCATTACCCGTCGGCGAGATTGATCTGACGAGCCCAAATCGGCATTGAACCCAGTTAAGCTGAGGTTATATAATACTAAAAGATCGATAGAACTAGCTGAGAGACAGGCGGAACGAAGGACCCGCGTCGTGAGGTGGTGAACGCGTTACTCCCCGGAAAGGACAATAGCGCCACCGCAGACACCTGCGGTCCGGAATTTTGCAAATATCTCGGCATTGTAGGACTTGTATTAAAACGCAGTTTTCGTTTTATTTATTCGAATATGACACAAATTTGTTCGGATTCCGTAGTAAATTTTTAAGCACAGACTTCATATATCCGGTTGAATCTTATTCCGAATCCGGGCTATTCGATCCTCATCACTCTTATTCATGGAGTGAAAAAGATAAAGTGTAGCGTTCTGCGTTTATCCGCTTATCAGTTTGGTTTCCAAATTTGATTCGGGTCTTCATTTTTTTATTTCCCTGTAATATTTTTTGTTATCAGATGCATCCGGTTTCGTTACTTCTACGATCATTTGTCGCCTTATCAACAATTGCGCTATTGGTTCAAATAGTACTTTATCATATCAATGATATCGTGGTAAGAGTTGTTGGTAACGTTGTCAGTATAATAAAATTTTCCGTACTTTAAGCTAATTTCGTTACTAAGAGGTTAAAAGTTTCAAAAAGGTCCCTTTTTCTTAGGAAAAAGCAATAGTCAAACTCAACGAGATTCTATATGTAACTTAAAAGTTGTGTTTAAAATGATAATCAAGTGAGATCTTCACATAATTTCACCTAACAAATAAACGAGAGCACGTGGAAAAATGGGGCAAGTAGGTTTTTCGTACTAGTTAATATTTTCGCTGTACAGTTAGGAATTCATCTCCCGGCAAGCCCTCCCAAGCTGAAAAGGAGTCTGGCGTTTCCATAAGGAGGCCCCACTAAAAAAACTAATACCAGGGTCCACCACCGTCTTGGTATCAAACTAGATGCATGGTGGCAAATCTCCCTCTGAACCACATGGGCCGCAGCTGCATGTGGTGGTAGCGACCTGAGACAGACTTTGGCTAGACTGAATTCGGGACTTCCAATCAAAATGGCTAAACTAGAAAGACTCTGAAAAAACAGAAATTATTCTGGAGCCCGAATAACCAGTGAGAGCCAGTCAAGTATCTAAGTACTTAATATTATTTGCAATTTTCATAAATTAGGCGAAATTTTGTACCATCCACGTCAGGAAAATTCGTGATAGGAGTATTCTGTTCGAAACAAAAGATTCACCGTTGAAATTTTATTCTTTTTTCGATATGAAAACGAGCTGGAAAACTTTTTTCCGTTAAAAGCGGTTTTCTAAACAACAACAAATACAACAACAACAGTAACAGCAACAACAACAACAACAAACAACATGTTTTTTTCTGGGATTTTACAAATTAATAAAAAGAAGAAAAACTCAAAACAATTAAAAAGGCAAATTCTCGTCTTCTAGAAAGTTTTTAAAGTGAAAAAATAACAAAAGAGCAAAAAACCAGCTTTACTTCGTTCCAGTTGGATTTGGTCGATTGTGGTGCTGATGATTGGCGGGTCGTTGTCACTACAGATCGAGCTATACAGTTTTGTACAGAGTTTCTTTTATGTGCAATTTGCCCACTTCCAGGTAAAAAATACTATGACAAAAGAATAATGTTTTGTAGTCCTTAGAAAAATTCTAAACTATTTTTAGTTAATGTGCGATTTTTCAGGTACTGGTTCAATACAGTGGTCATTTATTGAAACTACGCGAAATATGCAATCCAGTCATGGAAGATCATTTTACAGTAGAGAGGTAGGAAAGAGAACTTTGTTGAAGTTATTCTGTTAACACAGTTTTTCTTTGATTTTGCGGTAAAGGTTAAAGGATAAAGCCCTGGGCGTTGATCAATCCCTGAGGGATGCGCCACGCATTCGACTTCATTAAGCATTGTTTGGAGGTTACTGAATGCATATCTGGCCTTTACAATAACTCACGGCGATCTACCGATGCATCGAGTTAGTGCTGTTACCTTTCCAGACAAGTCTGGTATCAATTTGCCCACCCCGGAGGGTTGAAAGGCTTGGTGAGCCGTGGGCGCGGGATCGATTCCACGTGTGTGGTGCAAGGCGCCTCCGACCACTGCACCACACGAACTCTTTTAATGGCTCGCGGTGGCCTACCGATGTATCGAGGCAGTGTTTCTCTCCACACAGACAAGTCTAGTACCAATTTGCTGACTCCGGAGGGATGGAAGGCTTGGTGAGCCATGGGCACGGGATTGTTTCCACGTGTGTGTCGCGGTGGCGCCTCCAACCACTGCGTCACACGAACCCTTTTAATAGAGATAGATAAGATAGAGAAAGTTATTATAAATGTCCGACAATAGATGAAAAAACAGCCGATTGTTATTTTTAAGTGGAATTCGATCTATTAGAAATTCACATTGCTGATCAATGGATTATGGAGGAATCGAGTGAATGAATGATTAGACGAACGAAAACTTACGTACTAAAAAGTTTGGAAGATTGAGAGTAGAAGAACATCATCGCTTAATATCATCCGATAAGCTTCCTGTCAAGTTTTCATGCTTAATAAACGAACGTTGTAAGGATGGAAAAGTACTTAGGATTTTGAGGTCTAACACGATACTTAGAAAGCTCTGTTATCGTCCTTCTCTATTTAGCAACTCTACTGTTTAGTAAACCTCGACATAAAATAGAGCAACTGAGAACTACAAGTAGGCCACCTTCGTCAGTTATTTGTGTACCTTTTGTACCTTCCATTTCGTTATTTTTTCTTGTGAAGTTTCCCTCACCTTTTCGAACATTTCCGCTTTTGTGTAGAGGACAAAAGATACAGGTGTCAGCGTTGGTCTATGCCTGAACGATACGCCATGCCTTCGGTTTCACTAGGCATCGTTGGAAGTGATTAAATGAATTTCTGGCCTTTACTCGCGGAGGGCTACCGATGTTTCGAGCCATTGCTGCTGCCCTCGCAGACAAGTCCGCTACCACTTTACCGATCCCGTAGGTATAGAAGGCTTGGTGAGCCATGGGCGCAGGGTTCGATTCCACGTGCTTGCTGCTGAGCGCCTCCGATCACTGCGCCACTCCCGCCTCTAACTTTCTTTTACGGTAATGGCTTAATAAACCATTACTTTTATATGAAAATTTGAGAAATGTTCAGGCAGCTAAGTAAAATATCTGGAAGGAAATCAGATGAAAATTTATTTGCGTGTTTCTTTTATAAATACGTTAGGAAACTTTTTTTCTAGCTTGTGATTGTTCTTCATCATTTAAAAGTTCAAGACGAACTTTTTTCCGAAATTATAAAGCAGTTAAATTTTATTTCTTAAAAAAAGCGATCAATACCTGCGTAGAAGACGTTGTATCTAGAAGATTTTTCAGGTGCCTATTGACGTTTTGTTGTCAATGCTGATGCTTTCGCGCGTCTATCTATTTGCAAGATTTATGGTCCTTCATAGTAAACAGTTTCAAGTATGTTTTATATTCCAGACATTCTTTGAAAAATCCTTGGAATTTCGGTTATTCAGTTTTCTGCAAGAAAACCGTACAGAATATGATGAACAGTGTTTTTTTTTTATCAAAGGAATAACGCTTGTCCTTCAAAGTATGCATGACTTAAGAATTTCGACCGCTGACGGAGAATTTCTCTGCGGTTAGAATGTAACCTGTCTGATGATGCTGTCATGGCACCGATCAATAGAACAAGCTGGGAAGCAGACGAAGCTAAGGACCTGCTTGGTTTGGTGGTGAACGCGTTAGCCGCTGAAAGGGTAATATCGCGTTCGCATCCCACCGCAGGCACCTGTGACCCAGAGTTTTGGGAATATCTCAGCATCATTGTGGTTGCATCACACATAATACCCTGCCGTGAAAAATTGTAATAGGCAGTAAATAACAAAGTTGACATCCAGCCTATCTATTTCTCGTCTTCTCTAACTCATTAAATATCTTTAGAAAAGTAACTCACCGTAACGTCAGATTAGTTTCGGACGCGTGTGTTACGGTTTTCAAAGTTTTTGGGTCCCTCAGAAATATCTGAGAATTCGAAATAAATTTCCAAGAAAAGAAGGAAATTATTCAGTGCATCTAAAAAATCAGGGTTTCTACGATGGCTTTTTTGCATGGAAAAGTACGTTAAGCGCCTTTAGGATGCTTCAACGCGAACACTGGCGGCATTGAATCGAATTCAAGTGAACTTTTCATTTGTTCTTAAAACAGTACTGGATCAACAACCAATACTATTTCTCACAACATTTACAATAATTTTTTGGATCGTCACGTCCTGGACATTCGTACAATGTGAAAGGTTTGTAGTTTTGAATATTGTCATCGCTGCATATTTTTGGCTTCATAGCGTCCATTCATATCTTTTTTGTTGAAGATTTAGTGGTTTTTTCTAACTATTTAAACGCGTACGATTACTTCTAAAGTAACAAAAAGTATTGGGAGCGTTTTAATTCAATATATTTTGAATCTACTCGGACACTATTTTGAGCACAGATGCTCTCTTCTTAGCAAAGTTGTGGTTCAGTGGAGAAAAATCACAAGAAATCAGTTTCATTAATTTGTTTTCACTACATGTAAAAAATAGTAGATTTCTTTTTTATTTAGTCTAGTTGGAAAGCCTTTATCGTTTTCTAGCATGATTCATGAGTTCTCAGTAGGTCGAGTTTTTCCTCGAGTATGGTCATCAGTAAACTCTCGGTCTCGTCTTTCTATCTGTCAAAATGCATAATTTTCTTTCACGACTTCACTTTTTAAGGTTTGGACAGGTCGATCAAGACGTCCCATCAATTCTTTACTCAAATGCTTTGTGGTTCATTGGTGAGAATCAGTTTTCAATCTTCATTTCCTTAACAGTTTCGCGACAAATGACACCCATCGGGGTCATTTCTTTCGGGTGGTTTATTTTGTTGCGCAGAAGTGTATTCCTAGACTTCTTGCAGTCAGTCGGTGGCTTATGCAAAGCAGATGCTGTGATGGATACCGACCATGGAAGATGTTCCATTAATCATTTCTTGCTTAACAATTAAAAAAACCTTTTTTTGGAGTCCATATAATAGGCGGATGACCATTGCTGTTCAAGAGAGTGTGCAGGGTAGCGAGTGTGGCTAGTGAAAACGCGCAGAGACGTCTCCTCCTGTGCGTTGGGATTCGACAGTTGGAAGAACCTTCTCTAGGATAAGATGGTAAATCGTGGAGAACAAGTGGCTAGGTGTTCTCAGAGTATGCATTCTTCAATGTGCTTCAACAGTTTGTCTTAATGGACAGTTATGAAGTTATTTTTACTACAAGAATAACTGACGTGCTGCAAAGTGTTATAAACAACATTTGGTATGCAATTCACAATTTGTAATCTATGTATGTATACACGAAAGATCAATGGCCTGCATGCAAATAGTATCCGTCAAATTCTTGACATATTAGTCCCAGTATAATAGGTGTTTTTTCGTGTTTCGATCATAATTGCTTTAAGGCAATCTTTTCACATTTTGCATCCCATCCATTCCCTTCACATTGTGAACATCTTCTATAACAACCGTAAAATTCTGTTAATGTTCCAACTACTAAACTGCACTAGCAATCAAGAAATTTGAAAAACGAATTCGTTGCTTCCTAATTTTCAATATCCCTGATAATTTTAGCCGTTGTTTGGAATGAGAGGATATTACAACTTACTTGGATACTCGGATGGCCCGTCCTCACTGGTCGTGCGAGCCCCAGCGTATTCTCCATTTTTTTTCGGAGATATGCTGGTTTAGGTATTGTGGTTCGCTAGAATCCCGAGGTCAGCCAAGCCAAAGTTTGCCCCAGGTCGTCACCACCACAGGCAGTCGTCGCCCTTGTTGATCGGAGGGAGATTTGCCACCGTGTAACTTTGATACCAGGGCGGTGATGGATCCTGGTATTGGTTTCCTCTTAGCTGACGTACCTGATGGAAAGTCTGGACTTCTTCTCAGCTTCGGACACCGCCCGAATCTCTCCACAGCACATCGCAGCCTGAAACGAAGAAAACCTCCCACCCACGATGAGGCGGTAAACCGTCGGATGTAGTGCAAATAAAAGGTAAACATCATAGTAATCACAGAATTTATACAACTTCATTTAATGCCGATAGCACTACGACCACTCAGAGAACAAAGTTTCTCTTTTTTTCTTTTCTTCACAATAGAGTTGTAATCAGTAGAAACGTCGAAGGGTAGTTAGAAGAACTTAAAATGTACATGGGATACGAGAATCGTAGAAATTTTTCTAGAACGCGGAAAAAATCCGATTTACGGAACGGAAATCACGTCAAAAGAAGGTGCCATTCTAAAAGAAAAGATTCGGGAGTGGCCAGTGCGACACCTATCGGTGTCACAGCAAGCGCAACCAAAGAATACGCATTGCCCTTCCAAAAAAGGGCGAAATTAGGCGTCGTCGCGAAAATGTTAGAATATCTCCCCAAATAGTCAGTCCACATTCAAGTATTGAATTTTAAGCAAAAATCTTCTTTTTAAATGGCAGGACAGCTTGCCGTTATTTTAGGAAAAGCGGAATATGTTTTTAAGGCCAAGATCGTTATTCTCATAAATATAGAAAAGGAATCCTACGTTTGCCTACCCAGTGTTCAAATTCGTCCCTTGCAAGAGATTTCTTCAGGATCTCATTAAGACTTTTTTTACTTTGTCATTCTTTCTTTCCTAAGCACTATCATTCATGTCAGCTGGATCTACCACTGTGGTGTTTTTTTCACCCCTGAATAGTTTCGTACCAAGTTGCAAAGTTCGGTGAGTGCTTGGTTATCTCAGGTCGAGAGATCGAACAAAAGACTATCATACTGCAAGGACCCTCTAACATTTTTACAAGCTCACTGTACTAGTAAACTTCTTCATACAATCACGCAGTGCTTTACTGATTTCGGCATTGACACAATGCACGATATTTAGCGATAACTTTCATGCTGAATGGTTATGGCGACATCGTACCTCAAACCCACGCTGGAAGAATAATCGCGATTTTCGTCGGTGTTGTAGTAAGCTTCATTTTCCTCTTATAAAAATAATCGTATAAATGAGAAATGCAAGAAGCTGTTTATTATGGAGATGAAAATTTATGTAATAAGTTTTATCTGCTAAAGTTATGAAATATTTCACAAGTTTTTTCTTCAGCTTGGCATCTGTAGAAGCAACTTATCGGTAGCAGCGAAAAGCCTAAATAAATCACTAATAAGTTGTCAACTATGGCAGTGAAAAGTAAACAAGCGCTAAGATGGAATTTGTTGGCAGTACGTGTTTGGCCAATTTTTAGCTTTCTCATTTAGATAAGTCATCTTCACATATTTTTTTGATCCTAGCAATTCTACCATTAAACTCGTTGTCCTTTGTGTTGCATATTCCATATACGAAAGTGTTCATGTTCATTGGCATATCAGAATTTTTTCTTTCTAATGAATGCCGTTTTGTGTAACTTAATGTCGTTAGAATTAACCCTCCATAAATCTTTTGCTATAAGGTTATCAGGTCCTCAGATAGCTATGCTACAGCGTCCTTAACAAGCAGACCAACATTTGTGAACGGGACTGAACATTTGAATGCTTCGATGGTCTAGCCTAGGAATCTAACTAGCAATCAAGCGTTTCCTAAACGGCATCTATAACCAATGCGATTCCGGTGCCGGACTGGAGTCACAATGTTATATGTACATAAAGCATTGTTAACTTTTCCAGGGTGCTATTATTTCATCAATTCTTATCGCCGTTATCTCAAGAAACATTCTACTCTCACACGGGCAACGTAATGTGAACAATTTTATGCATGACAGTAAACTCACCAGAGAACACAAAAACGCAGCAGCAAAGGTAAACTTGACGCTTTATGTCTGTTTTCTTTTCACTTTTCGTTCATGGAAATGGATAAATTCAAAGAGATAAGATGTTGTTATTCTTAACGTCGTAGATATGCAATAGGTTGGAAGCTTTTGCACAAAGTATTGCTAGTGTTTTAAGTAGATTAAAATGAGTTCATCAATATAAGAACCTTCCTTGACTTACTTAGATGGCCAGCACTCACTGGCTATGCGGGTCCCAACATAGTTTCCATTTTTTGGGCGTTTTGCTGGCTTAGCTAATATGGTTCCCTGAAGTCCCGTGGTAAGCCAGGCCAAAGTCCGCTCCAGGTCGCCACCAGCACAGGGTCGCCGCGCCCGGTGGATCGGAGGGAGATTGCCACCGGGCGAGTAGTTTCATAACAGTATGGTGATGGATTCTGGTACTCGGTTACTGTTAGCTGGCCTTCCGTATGGAGACGCTCGATTTCTTCGCCAGCCTGGGAGATTTTGCCAGGGTACTATACAATGCTGCTGGACACCCAGGAACACCTCCAGGCCACGAGGTGGTAGTAAACCGTTGGAAGGAAAAAGTAGCGTTTTTCCACATCGATGTATTTTTATTGATTGAAAAGCGAAAAAGTATTAATGAAAACTCTAAAACTTCATGGGAGAAATGTAGAGAATGGGTATGAATCGACTTTGTCCTAGGTTTTACAACATACATGGCGTATCCATAATTGTTTACGAAGTGGACCAGATAGTCGTCTACGGACATTTCAACGAAAATTTCTTCGAGCTATTCATGAGTAAGTAAATCCTTCGAAAAACCATTTCAAATGTTAACAGATTAATTTTTCTGTATGAGAGCAGTCATTTCTAAATTTTACGGCAACTTTTATTCACAATGATGAATCATAGCGTTTTGCTGAGGAGTGAGTTTATTGCAAATAAAATCATTATAGAAATCATTTCAGTAATATTCTTCAACCTTGTCCAGTTCCTTTCTACTACTTCATTAATCGTCAGCCTTTCTATTTTTTCCTGTTCTTACTATTTACAATGGTTATAGATTAAATTTCACGTGAAACCTCAGATGTTACTTACCCGATACTTGAGCGGCCCGTCCTCACCAGCTGTGCGGGCCCCATCATCACCTGCATCAACTGTAGTCCCGTTGATCGTCGAGTGACGAGCAGGCGCCAGTAAATCTTCCATTTTTCCTTGTCGCGTGCAAGAGTAGTCCAGTGGTTTTTGCTCCCTCTAGAGACTAGTCGAGCATCATATCTTTTTTCAAGGTTCTTTGTGAAGAACTCTGACCATCGGGTCGGTGGTCTACCTGAAGTACGTTTCACATCCAGCGGAATCCACTCACTAACGGTTTTCGCCCATCGGCTGTCATTAATACGCATTACGTGTCCGGCCCACCTTGTCTTCGACTGTTTAGCGTACAGGGGCATCTATGATTTTTGATCGATGACGCAGATCGGTGCTTCGAATCCCATCCCTTACTTGCGTGGAATGGGATACTCCTAGCATCGTCCTTTCGACTGCGCGTTCGATAGCGCTGAGTGACCTTTCATCCTGTTTAACCAGCAACCAGGTTTCTGATGCACACGTTAGGGCAGGAAGTATCGCTGAGTCCAAAAGGTGGGCACGCAATCGGGTGTTTTTTGTTTTCTTCACTATATCCTCGATGCCCTTGAATGCTCTCCAAGCCGCTCGTTACCTTCTGCTCAGTTTTGGAGCTAGGTCGTTCGTCGTATTGATTTTCCGACCAAGATAGATATAACTGGAGCATTCGGAGATATTCGTTCCGTTGAGCGTGAATGGGGCATGCGAAACAAATCCGTTCTTCATGAACATTATTTTTGTGAGATTTAGTCGAGGACCAATCTTTCCACAGACTTTATCAAAGTCGTCAAGCATACGTTCCGCCTGGCTAATGTTTCGTGTTATAAAGACGATGTCATCAGTAAAGCGAAGATGATGTAACTGCCAACCATCGGTTTTCGCTCCCATATTATCCCATTCCAATGTTCGCATGATGTTCTGGAGGGTGGCGGTAAATAATTTTGGCGAGATGGCATCGTCTTGCCTAACTCCTCTTTTGATGTCAATGTTAATGTCGTTGTAGAATGGTGATATCTTGGTTGTGAAATTTTTGTGCAGCTCACAAAGAATCTTTATGTACTTAGTGGGGAATCCTTGACTATCAAGGGCTTCCAAAACTGCTTCTGTCTCAACTGAATCAAAGGCCTTCTGTAAATCGATGAAAGTGAGACAGAGCGGTCTTTTGTACTCTCGCAATACTTCAATGAGCCGTGTTACCGTGTGGATGTGGTCCATCGTACTAAATCCTCTTCGGAACTCTGTCTGCTCACATGGCTGTCCTTCGTCTAGTGTTCTATCAGTCCTGTTTAGGATGACTCGAGTGAAAAGTAGAAGGCGAACAGAAAGTAAGCAGATTAGGCGATTGTTGCCGATATCCTGCAGGTCACCCTTCTTGAACAATAGCACGGTCTCGCTGGTCTTCCACCGACTAAGGACCTTGCATTCAGACAGGTAGCGTACGAAGAGCCGAGCCAGTGTGTTTACGAGGACAGTAGGAAGGTTCTATAGGTGTTCTGGTCTTATCCTCTCCGGCCCTAGTGCTGTTCGATTTTTCACCGACGAAATGGCATTTCACATTTCGGAAGGGAGAACCGATGGTACAAAATATCCATACTCCTTTACTTCATGTGACGGAAGGTGGACGTGGTTACCGAAGAGATCGAAGGCTATCCGAGTAGTATTCGTGAATGATTTTCTCCATTGCCTTTCTGGACGCTGTAACTGTTCCACCTGGACGCCGGAGTGCAATATAATTTTGGTTTTGTAATTGGGGAAGCTTCGGTGGGTTTTGCGAATGCTTCTCCCTGCTTCTTCAGTTTCAACTATTACTGTTGCTCTTCTGTCCCTAAGAACATCTTTTATCGCCTGTCTTCATTGTTTTGCATGTTCGGACGTTAGTTCGCGCTTCCCTGCAACTCGTGCGATTCCACGCTGACGTTTCAGCTCAAGCGTTTCTGGAGACAGACGTCTCCTGGTGACTTTCGCACTGAGCTTTCATAGCCTAACGAGAAGCTGTTGAATAAGCCGATCGTATTCTTCGTCGTTGCTATCGACAACGGCATCTTACCAACAGCTGGCTAATGGATTGAATAAGTGCCTGTTTGCAGTAGTTCTGGGACTTCGGTTTCGGAATTTATCGGCTTTTTCCCCTTTCCGCGAGAAATAGAATCTTGCACGAAGGAGACGATGGTCAGATTCAGTGCAGAATTTTGGAACAAGAGCGACATTTGTTAAGCAAAACCTATTTACTATGATGTGGTCTATTTCGTTATGGTACCTTCCATTGAGTGACTCCGACGTACAGCATGGAGGGTGGGGCTTCTGAAATGGCGAGTTACCATGGATTGTGTTGGTCGCCATGATAAACTCGGACAGCCGCTCACCTTATTCGTTCCATTCTAATCCGTGGGTCCCAATGTGACGTTCTTCAAACGTCCTTCTTGGTCCAATCTTGGTGTTGAAATCTTCAATGATGACCTCCAAGAATGTGTGGTCTTCTCTGTAGAACTTTTCGAGGTCCATATAGAACGCTTCGACTTCATCTTCGTCATAGTTTGATGTCGGCGCGTAAACGACGAAGATTGTCAAAGCCGGAATTGGTCTGCCTCTTTTTAATCGCAAACATCCGATTCGGGTTGCTAGTTGTTCGAATTAATCAACGTTCACGGACAAACTCGTGTTGACGAGAACGCCGACGCAGCCGACTCCTCTACTGTCGCATGTTCCGAGGAACAGTTCTTCTCCGGTGTCATAGACAGCGATGAAAGGCTGTCGTCTTTTCGTCTTCTCCTCTTTCTCTCTCGTCTTAGGTGGCAGCACTTTCCCTCTGCCAGGCCGATAACGTCGTACCCTATCCTTCTTTCTTGCATGAACAAGTCTTCTATCGAGTACTCGGACGCAAGTGTACGTGCATTGTAGGTACAGATCGTCACCATAGACCTTTGAAATCCAGGCAGCTTCTATTGGCTCTGAGATTTTAAAACCTCTCCGCATTCGTCTTGCACAACGCTGCCAAGCTGGGAGCTTCCTCGGGGTCAGAGAAACGAGGCCCGTTTTTCTGAGCATGTGGGCTGGATATGCTGACGGGTAGCTTGCTAGGCTCTCCCAGAGTGGACGTGGAGCCTATTTGTTGGAGGCGACTCTTAACCGCCTCCCATCTATTTCCCAGTGGCTTGATTGCAGGCTTTTGTTCGAATTGACTCGCAGAATACAATCCGCACAAGCAAGAATGCACCCACGCACGCATGCATGAATACACCTAGCAAATACAGAAAATATGTGCCAAATCAACTCAACAGAAACAGTGTGTCCATCTCCAAGATCCACCTGCGTCTCCGGGAACTAAAGGTAGTTTTTGGTCCGCGATTAACCCTCTATACGCCACATGGGGACGTGCCGCGTTGCTTCGCAACTAACTGGCTCGAGATCCCTCATATGAGGAAGATCCGTGGAAGGCTCCAGCATAATCACCATTTTTCGGAGATTTGCTGGTTAAGCCATTGGGGTTTCCTGGAATCCCGAGGAGAGTCTGGCAAAGTCTGCACCAGGTCGTCACCACGACAGGCGGTCGCAGCCCTTGTGGATAAGAGGGAGATTTGCCACCATGCGACTTTGATACCAGGACGGTGGTGGGCCCTGGTATTGGTTTACTCTTAGCTAGGCTCCCCAATGGAAACGCCGGACTCCTCTGCTTGGGAGACTCTGCCGAGTGGGCGAATCCCTCGCTGTACATCGCAGTCCGACACCAAGGAACACCTCCCACCCACGATGAGGCGGTAAACCGTTGGGAGGAACCTGACATATTAACGAGAAAAAAACAGACTCACTGGGAAGCTTGCAATACTTGTCTTTTTAAGTTTTTAAGTTAATTTGGAGAAAAATCAGTATACTAAACAGTAGCCTGGCAAAGAAACCAAATGTGCAGATGAAATTTTTAACTTAAAGTTTTTAGAAGGATCATTATTCGCTCATAGATTCACTTCTTGTTTGTTTAGGTTTCGAGCCATTAAGAATGAAATGCGAATGTTCTCTGAGAATAACTCGGCAAACACTCAGCAAGTGACTCGAGTATGAATTGCTATGATTTAGTTGAATTAAATTTCATTAGATCTTTCTAAAATATCATTTTCTTTAGTTAGTCGCTGAAATGCACTTCTCAATGCAGCGCCTAATATCTGCACAAGAGGAGATCAGAGCACAAATTGAAGTCTTACAACGAGCTGTTCGTAATCATTACACAAATAGCCAACAATGGTTGGTTTTTATGACGCTATTTACCATTTTTCTGTACCGTGGCCAGGTCGATAGTGTTGGGTTTCAAACTGTGATACGTTGCGGACGAAAACAGGTTCACAGACGTCGAGAATGAGTTCAACATTTCTTCTAGGAAGCCTAGTTAGTAGTAACCCAATGCGAAAGCCATTGTAACCATCATAGAGGAAATCATATTCCATGAAGACGAATATTCTTCGGATCCAGAAAGGCCGGTGACTGAGTGTAGTGGCGAGTTGGGAAGTTATTGCACAACTATCGTTGAAAGCCAGGAAGCAATCACTAACTAAGCTTCAGCTAAATCAAACGGAAAGTACACGTACTTGAAAATAGAAACTAATGATTTACCATTATTGTCTAATATCAAGATCATATATGTATTTGGTATTTTTCAGTTTAACAGACATGATCTGACTTACCAAAGCCATAAAAGCTCCAAAAAGACATGGAAGAAGAAAATTGCGGAGGCCTTTCTTTTTTTCCTCATATCCTTTCTTATTTTTGGATAACTTCTTCATTCATTGTGAATCTAAATTTGAACTAACATCGCCATATTTCCTCATAAGCTATTTTATTTGCTTTTATCAAGGGTCAACGTATGTCATACTGAATATTTTTATCCTCAAGTACTCTTGTCATCAATGGTTATTATTTCAATGTCTCGTCAGATTATCATGCTATCAGACGGGTTACCTACACGATCATGTTGACAAAGATGTTTGCAATTTTGTCACTGTAGTAAAAATAAACTTTTCGAGGGACTTCATTTCTCGTTTTTCATTAATAATATGTCTGTTCATGAATACGATTCCGCGATTCCTGGTTGTGCAGCAATCGCGTGGCGTGGCGTTCATGAGCGCACCAAATGCACCAACGAAATGGGAAGGAAAGACCATTTTTGTTTGCTCAAAAGAGAGGAACAGTTTTCAGAACAAGATCACCTTGATGTTTCTTTATTCCACATATTGGTCGGCTCTCCGAAATTCGATTACGATCGTGTTCTGAACCTGTTATTTCGATCTTAACCCTTTTATTCAGTGCCTTTTTCTTTTTAATGGCAGGGTATGTCACGAAATATAACTCGTATATAATGCTGAGATATTTGTAAGACTCCGGACCTCAGGTGTATGCGGTGGGGAACGAACGCCCTATTGTCTTTTCCGGAGGGTATCGCGTTCACCACCACCCCATGCGGGTCTTTCGTTCCGCCTGTCTCTCAGCTAGTTCTATCGATCTTTTGCCATCAACATTCACCCATCAACGGAATTGATCTGGGGAGCACAAATCGGCATTGAACCCAGTTCAGCTGAGGCTATAGTTATCACAATCTTAACCTTTTTATTTACTGTCTATTCTTTTCAATGGCAAGGTATGTTGCGAAATTTAACTCGTATAATGCTGAGGTTTTTCGCAGAACTCTGTTTACAAAATACGTGCTGGTCACACACCGATGTGGGCAGTAGTAGGACTTAGCCATTAGTTTTCTTCCTCGTTTTTTTAGAAGCAGTTTAAGTAGGCTAGAAAATAGCTCAAGACTTAACTTTGGTTTTCTTCGTATTTTTGTTGAGCAAACGCGAGGTGTTACTATTCTTTGTTCACGATTAAACTGACCTTTCGGCGGATTTCGCCTTCTTCAGAGCCTGGAAAGGTCAAGTTGATAGCAATCCACTCGGCCAGACGCCTCCATAACCAAACAGCTGCATCTCTTCGCGCGATAGTAATTAAGGACTTTGAGAGTTTCATTCGCAAACATCCGAAATTTAACATCAACTTCATTATTGGGCTCTTGTTGTCTAAAGAACGTCGGGGGAAATGGTGCTATTGGTAGGGCCCCCACTTGATGTTGTTCGCACCTATTTAGCGCTTCATCTCTAGCTTTTTTGCGGAGTCTATCTTGAAGTTCATGTAAACCACATGCGATCCTACGCAAGGTTATCTTAGAAATGGGTTCAGATGGTGAGGAACTCGGCCCCAATTCTAACAACGAGCGCGCACCGTCAGGGAGAGTTATGCCTCCTAACACGGTTAGCCTTGAATTTTCTTGCATATTACCTATCCTAATGTGATCTGTTTGATGTTTTTTAGCGATATTTTTGTGCGCTATTGAAGTTGTGTTATGTGATTTACTCAAAAGGTCTTCGAATTTTCTTCGCAAAGCTACTTTAGCATTAGACCTAATAGAGTTGCAAATCAACACTGACCCGCTCACTATTCTCCTCCAGAGGTGGTCCTCCAAATATTTAGCACAAAAGTTTTCCTTCGTCTCGCACTTCTTCCACTTGGCGAACATCTGGTTTTGTCGGCTTCGTAGACAAGTGCGTAGTATTCGCAATTCGACGTCCAATACTTGGTGACTGTCCTCTGGTAGACCGCATACGTCGTGTAGTCGTCTTCGTTTGATGAAGTTCGGAACGACTTGATGTTTTAGACAGCGGCGGAGAAAGTGTATTGACTGTCGAGCTAAGACGATCTTTTGTCTCAGTGACAGCGCTTCTTTTACAAGTCGGAAGTATCTTGCTGGTACATCCTGCAGTAACTGCCACGACCCCAAACCAAGATTTCAATCACTTTGAACACAGCTTTGCANGGCTGTGTTATGTGATTTACTCAAAAGGTCTTCGAATTTTCTTCGCAAAGCTACTTTAGCATTAGACCTAATAGAGTTGCAAATCAACACTGACCCGTCCACTATCTCCTCCAGAGGTGGTCCTCCAAACACTGAGCACAAAAGTTTTCCTTCGTCTCGCACTTCCTCCACTTGGCGAACATCTGGTTTTGTCGGCTTCATAGACAAGTGCGTAGTATTCGCAATTCGACGTCCAACACTTGGTGACTGTCCTCTGGTAGACCGCATACGTCGTGTAGTCGTCTTCGTTTGATGAAGTTCGGAACGACTTGATGTTTTAGACAGCGGCGGAGAAAGTGTATTGACTGTCGAGCTAAGACGATCTTTTGTCTCAGTGACAGCGCTTCTTTTACAAGTCGGAAGTATCTTGCTGGTACATCCTGCAGTAACTGCCACGACCCCAGACCAAAATTTCAATCACTTATGCCTCCATAACCAAACAAAGAAACTCCAAACCAAGATTTCAATCACTTTGAACACAGCTTTGCACACTCACCGCTTTCTGTATGGTCCCACTAAGTATGTCACGTAGAGACCAACCGCACAGAAATCACGTGGAAGTATAATGTGCCCCTCACATCAGAAAAGCAGTTTTATATTATATTTGAAGCAATTTTGAGTTCAAATATTCTTAGTTTTGGCAAATCTAGTAAATTAAGTGATTTACTCAACATTGAAACCAAATATCTGAGAATAAAGAAGAGATGAAGAATGATGGGGGAGCACAAACACCACTTGAAGAACCAATGTGTATTACCACATGGGCTAAATAGCATTTGTTATTGATATTTATTATGTTTATATTTATTTATATTTGAACTCAAAATTGCATAATTTGCCCCAGTGGTAGAGACGGTGATTGCATGAGCTCGGGTATAGTTTATCTGATCTCCTGTAAGACGTGTGGTGACGAATACATTGGCGAAACGGGTAGACCCCTCTGTGTCCGCATGAAAGAACACCTAACCGGCAAAAATAGACCAAATACCCCGCTAGGCACGCATAGGACCCAGAGACAGCGGGGACGACTTCGAAATATGTGTCACGATCCTTGCACGCGAATCGAGAACACAGGCGCGAAAAACCCTCGAGGCACTCTGGATTAATTCCAGAAATCCGAAAATGAACCGCAGGGAAGAATGCCTCATTATCACGCGTGATATAGGGCAGTATATAAAACTGCTTTTCTGATGTGAGGGGCACATTATACTTCCACGTGATTTCTGTGCGGTTGGTCTCTACGTGACATACTTAGTCGAAACCTCATAGAAAGCGGTGAGTGTGCAAAGCTGTGTTCAAAGTGATTGAAATCTTGGTTTGGGGTTTCTTTGTTTGGTTATGGAGGCGTCTGGCCGAGTGGATTGCTACCAACTTGACCTTTCCAGGCTCTGAAGAAGGCGAAATCNAGACAGCGGGGACGACTTCGAAATATGTGTCACGATCCTTGCACGCGAATCGAGAACACAGGCGCGAAAAACCCTCGAGGCACTCTGGATTAATTCCAGAAATCCGAAAATGAACCGCAGGGAAGAATGCCTCATTATCACGCGTGATATAGGGCAGTATATAAAACTGCTTTTCTGATGTGAGGGGCACATTATACTTCCACGTGATTTCTGTGCGGTTGGTCTCTACGTGACATACTTAGTCGAAACCTCATAGAAAGCGGTGAGTGTGCAAAGCTGTGTTCAAAGTGATTGAAATCTTGGTTTGGGGTTTCTTTGTTTGGTTATGGAGGCGTCTGGCCGAGTAGATTGCTGTCAGCTTGACCTTTCCAGGCTCTGAGGAAGGCTAAATCCGCCGAAACGTCAGCTTAATCGTGAACAAAGAATAATAACACCTCGCGTTTGCTCAACAAAAATACGAAGAGAATCACTTGATCAATGCCGAGGTTAATAGAAAGTCGGTCGTGGCACTTAATTTTGGATTAGAAAAAGCCTTGCTTGGCACGAATTTCCAGTTTGAGGAGCATCTTATAAAATTCTACAACAGGCTGGTAATGCCGATGAGGTGCGCAACAGTTGGAAACAATGAAGTCGTCCAACATATGATGACAAAGGTTGAAATTGTCAATGAGCAGAATGGTAGACTTCCATTTTGTTTTTTGAAGGGCGATCACACCGTATTTGACGGCATCAGGAGGAACATGAAAGTGATAGCCCGAGGAGAGTAACACTGTATGAACATAACTGGAAGTAGTCTACGTGTCTCGTTTGCATAGTTTGCCTTTCAGACCCAGGATTGTTTCCTACGAAGGGTACGCATAGTGTGGTGGTCGGAGGCGCCGTGCAATACACATGAGATCGATCCAGACACTCCAGGCTCACCAAACCTCCATTATCACGGGCTCGGCAAACAGGTACCAGACCTGTCTGTCAGGTTGGCACCCACTAACTCGAAACATTAGTAGGCCATCGCGAATCATTCTATAGGCCACACAGCATTCAATCACCTCTAACGATGCTTAAAGAAGTCGAATTTATGTCACAGTATTCATGGACTGTTCAACGCCGAAGGCGCTATCCTGTACTGTTTCCTACCTCAACATATTGAATGATAATCGAGCTTCATCGTTGCTGGAGTCCAGAAATTGCTTTCCCATGGCGTTCCCTTTATTTCTTAAATATATCTTTCCCATAATAGATAAATATTTTGTCCCGTGTCTACTGCTGAAGGATCAATTTTGAAAAAGATTTCCCAGTTCGATATGACGATCTCCTTAGCGCTCACCATTACTAGTCTAACCAGATCTTCGACACCAAAGTTTGTTCTAAACAATTTAAGAGTGAAAACAAAACCCCTCAAACAGAACTTCACGCAAGAACAAGAAATGGCTTCCTTTATTTAAGAGCAGTAATAAACTCCATCAGTCTACACTTAACGCAAGAAGAAAACTGGTTTTCTACACTGTCATTATCTCTACAGAAAGCGTATTAGGTCATTACACTGCATGCAGCAGAACGCGTAATATGGTACCAAGAAGTCACTCGAAAATTTCTTATTAAACACGATCTATTCATATTTAATCTCCTGTACTTGGTACTTGAATGGCCCATCCTCATTAGATGTGGGAGCAACAAGCACAATCTCCATTGTTCAGAGATTTTTGGTTAAGTCATTGTGGCTTACTGCAACACCGAGGTCGGCCAGGCCAAAGTCTGTGTCAGGTCTTCACTACCATGGGCAGTCGCAGTCTTTGTGGATCAAAGGGAGATTTGCCACTGAGCGATTTTGATCTGATACCAGGACGGTGATGGACCTGGTAATGGTTTACTCTTAGCTCGGCTTCCTGATGGAAACACTGGACTCAGCCTGGGAGACCCTGTTGAAGGGACGAATTCCCCAGTTGTACATCGCAGTTCGACATCCAGGAACACCTCGCCGCTACGAGGTGGCAAACGGTTGAGAAGACAGGGCGTTAACACCGTCAACGTTGAAACATAGACATCAAGCATTTCTTAGGATGGTGTTTAAGGTGAATCTTCCTAGATATCTGGAACACTGATAACACATCCTAGGCATATTATTCTAAACGTTTACAAAGTCGCAAACTTTTTCCCCTTTTTATAATTGATAACTCAAAGTGATTAAATTTCCCAGCGAAATGTTACTACGTGCTCCGAATAAAACGCCTTCGTGACCCAGAACAGTCGATTTCGATGGTAGACCGCTGACCTATTTAAATCTCTGTATAAATTCATTTTCGTCAGTCAGTTCAATCAAACTCATCAACATTTTTTATTCAAATAAATCACTCATAGGATACAGTTTAATGGAACATTTACTTGTGCACTATTAACATTATCGTGTCATCTTCTTCATGTAGGAAAACAGGTAGTCGCTCACTTATTCCATTATGGGTATTTATTCCCTGTCGATCGTCAATATTAATAACGTTATTTGCTAATGTTATTCCCATATTTTGTTCTACAAGTATATTATCATATCATCGAACCTTTCAAAAGTGATTACAGCTTAGTAGTTAAAAGTATGTGTAGGATGCTATAGTCATTAGTTCGACCCCGTATGCGGTCTAAGTTAGTCCCATTATCACCCAGCTCGGAAGAACACTACTCACCTGAGATGATAAATGAGATGATTTTACAACTCACAAGGCCATTTTAAGCCATTGTACACGCCAACTATGCATTAAACCACCTCTACCAATTGGATTCGAATGCATGGCTTACCTCTAAGTGGTAGATCTACGCCGATCATTTTATCCTTTTCTCTCTTATTAATCCTAACGTATCTATTTTAGTTATGAGCTTAGGCTCAGAAAAGTTATACTACCAAATTGGAATAGCTTCGATTTTTCTTTCAACGTTCTCCATAATAACGTTAGTGATTTCGATATCATTTATCTATGGACGAAGTGATGTTCATCATAAAGAACTCGGCAAACAAGTGTCTCGATTCAGAGTAAGTTTTCACCTTATTGGCAGATATTTACGCTAAAGCTTTTTTTAATAGGAATCTACTGACTCTTTATGGAACGAAATCTTCGAACTTCGCAATATTGTAGATCCACACATAAAACACCTCGTGAGAAAACCACGAAAGGCATGGTTTGAAGGTGGACTTTGTAAAGGTATTTATAATAGTTAAACTATATAAAACTCTCTCCAAGTAACTGCTTCGAAATGTCGACAGTCTATAGTGCAATGTTTTCCTCATCACTGTTTAAAACAAATGATCACCATTGGTAATGTTTCATCGGAAACATATTCATCACTACTGCAAAAATGATAAAGAAAAACTAAACACACAAAACCAAATCTCGCAAGAGAAATTGTGTTAACATATTCTCTACTTACTTAGGAATTTAACTAGATGAGACACTTTGTATGGAAACGTGCAGCCAGCACGTTTTTATGAAAAGTGCGGGCCACAGGACATTTCCATACTTGCACGATCATCGTCAACAATGCTGATCTGCTTTGAGTCTACTTGGATGCTTGAATCTTCATAGAGTTCACTTTGCAGCTGTTCACCCACCCTCAGATGTTAGCAACTCTTTTCAACACACGACTGGCGCATCTGTGTCTGGTTTTCGATGTATAAGCGCTTCGGCTCTCTAAATCTGTACTCAAATAGTAACCAAAACATTAAACTATAATTTAATAAACTAAAGTTAAATTTTCTGCTCGGACAATACATGGGACTGACTTAATAAGGACAAAAAAAACCATTCAAAAACAAATTAGCCAAGCAAGGAAAGTTTTCAGGTTGTATTACACTGGCGTGCAATATGGGGCCCCCCGGCCCACCTGGGGAACCAGGACCCGACGGATCGCCCGGTGAACCGGGCTCGCAAGGTATAGCTGGACAAGATGGTCTAGATGTTCAGCTGGAATCGGAACCTAATCTTCCTTGTGTGGTCTGTCCAGCTGGTCCGCCAGGGTTAAGGTGCAAATTCATATTCTAGAGAAAAATAGTATTTTATCAAATATGACCACTAATAATTTAGAGGGCCCCAAGGAGAACGCGGAATGACGGGCCATCTTGGTCTTCCAGGTGAACCAGGACCAAATGGTATTGCAGGTACAGACGGTCCGCCTGGCCTACCGGGAGCTGTTGGAACACTTGGTGAGCAGGTAAGCTGGTTGAAGCCCAAGACTTAGACTTTCAATTCCACCAAAGTATTTCAGGGACCCATTGGACCAAAAGGTTCTGAAGGAGATACCGTTATAGCGGGAGTTGGTGTAAAAGGACCCATTGGCCCACCTGGGCCACGAGGAATGAAAGGAAGGCCGGGACCTCATGGTAGGTATTGACTTTCACCAAGACGTTAAAGATAAGAGTGACCTTAAGTATTATTTTCAGGTAAAGGCTCGAACAGCCCGGGCAATCCAGGCAGTCCTGGGCCTGCTGGACCTGCTGGACCAATAGGAAGACCTGGACTAGTGGGACTGGAAGGTCCTTATGGACCTCCAGGTGATCCAGGTCTGTTTAAGGGATGGCTATACATTATGGTAATCAAATAAGCCACTCCGTTTCAAGGGATGCCTGCTTCATACTGCGCGTCCGATTGTGGAGTTCAAAACATAGTGGCAGACGTAGTGCCAAGAACCAGTGAGAAGAAGTTCAACGAGTACGCACCTCCCACTAGTCAGCCAAATGATGAAGTCGCCATATCTCCACCAAAGTTGGTCTTTAGTACTGAAATAAAATTCTAACTCGCATATTTAGATTTCTTTTTAGGGAGAAGTATAATTCTATAAAAGACGATGGTTACGGCAGTCTTCGACTTCACGATTTCGCTGAATATGAACGAAAAATGAGAAAGAAGATAATAAAAAAGTTGATGAGGGCAAAAAGAACGAGATTTTGAGTTAGGAAACCGAAATTAATGTCAGATCATTGGTTACTGAGATGCAAATGACCTATAATTGCATATGATTTTAGTAACAGCACAAAACAATATATGTAGAGCAATAAACCTTCAACCCGAATGTTTTATCTTCCAGCATATAATGGAGATTAAAACTGTATCAAAACTTACGTGAAGAACCTAACTGCTTCCATCACCTACCTCACACATACCATCTGAAACCTTGTTGTTTGCTGAATATTAATCAAGTGGAGGTCAGTAACACGTCTATTCGTCTCGTTTGCGTCCAGCTTTCTCATAGACACCGAAGGTCACCATCTCCTTTATCACGAGAGTAAACCTGTATTTTCATGCCCAGATTAGTTGATCAAAATCGAGTTTGTTGTCTGCGCAGTTTACATCATCATATTGTTAACGAACGTTGGACGTAAATATTAATACTGTTAAAGTATAAAGGATAATGATAAATCCATTGCGGACGCACCATACAAACGAATTCATTAAACAGCAGCCTAGGAGTGACTGCTGTTTATGAAGGCACTACTTTTTGTCAAATTTTTCTAGATAAGTCTGGTACCAAATACCACACTCCGGAGAGATGTAGGAGTTGCCTAGCGCAGAGCACGAGCTTGAACTCGAGAACACATGTGTACTGTGGGACGCTTCTATAAACTAGGCTAAACATGCACTATTATTGTTGTTAAGATAAATTTCGTACACATTTCAGTAGAATATCGTGGAAACGCAATTTCAGGAGAGTTTCTATACTCACGCATGCCAATAAAACCGGATTCAACTGTGGTGAGAAGAAAAAATTTACATTAGCCTTGAAACATCCACTTCTGTGATTTCGTCCGGTTTCTCGAACAACCCTACTTAATAATCGGCATAAAAGAATCGTTAAATCGAAGTGCCTCAGAACTAAAACGATTCCTTACCATGGATTGTCACTAGCTATGCTTTCGGTGGAAGCCGTTTTTGAATTGGATAACACCAGCAGTACATCGTGATTCGACGCCCAAGAACACCAAACATCGATGAGTTGACGGCAGACTGTCGCAGAAACCGCAGGAAGAATGTTTAGGCAATAATTGAGCATTTTAATAACGAACAATCCTATTGGAACATTTGCAGGATATACCAAAAACAATGACAAGCTCATTCCTAAATGGATAAAGATAAATCCGTCTCATTATCTCTCGGACAAGACCTGTTACACCAAAGATTGTTGCGAGAGTGTTAAAAATTTCATATATTTTACACAACACAGGGAACGATTTTCACGTCTCCCAGGATACTCTCTTGAAAAACTGGCACCTTTAAGTATGAACAAGTTTTTTTCCGAGTCCGACACCCACTAACGGGCGCTCCTAGGCAACTCAAAGCAATCTCTTTTAGTGGAAAAACAGGAAAAACAAATATATGAACATGTGATAATGTACGCACCAGGTTATCAGCAAGCCACAACACTGGTGTGCTCACGGCGTGGTTCCAGAACGAATGTGTTAAATTCATTTACAGCTGAGTCTTTATTTTCTGCTAACTCAGCAACTCCTCCCAACGGTTTACAGCCTCATCGTGGCTAGGAGGTGTTCCTGGGTGTCGGACTGCGATGTACAGCAGGGAGATTCGTCTACCCGGCAGGGTCTCCCAAGCTGAGGAGTCCGCCGTTCCCACCAGGAAGCCTAGCTAAGAGTAATCCAATACCAGGATCCACCACCGTCCTAGTATCAACGTCGCATGGTGGCAAATCTCCCTTTGATCCACAAAAGCTACGACTGCTTGTCGTGGTGACGAGCTGGGGCAGACTATGGCCAGGTTGCCCTCGGGATTCCAGAGAACCACAATGGCTTAACCAGCAAATCTCCGAAAAATGGTGATTATGCTGGGGCCCGCACAACTAGTGAGGACGGGCCATTCAAGTATCAAGTAAGTAAGTAACTCAGTAACTATACTACATTCAAAATCGACATCCAGATACTTTTTTGCCAGAGAAAACTGACAACTATGACAAAAGAACGCATAATTTTCATATTCATTGGTAACACTCTCAGTTTGTCGTGTTCACCGACAACTGCAGGTGCGAATCTTCAGAAATTCGAAAAATTATAGTCATCATGCACCATGATAATGTTATGAATGAGGCAATACTCAGGAACAATCAATATAGTAGCTGTGGGAGAAAAGAAAAAACACTAGATTGTTACGAATCATAAAGCCAGACCTGGGTCATCTAATCTAAGTGCATTTTAAAATACATCACTTGTAAATAAAACAATAAACTGGTATGAAAAACGAATGAGTAATGACAAAAGATCACGATACACCCCGTTATATGGATAGGTTGCAGCAAAATCACGTTTATGTATCAACACATAACAAATACAAGTTGAAGAATCATGACACATTTCATGAGAGCAATAAAAAGTCCCCTGAACTATGTTAACTACGCTCGCAACACTTCCTGTACAAGCACAGCAAGGTCATGGTTTTGATCGTGCTTGCTATTGCGAATGAAGGCATGATTCTGAAACTTCAGAAAACCTTCTTCTTAGTCGAACAAAAAAGAACAGATTACACATGCTCTCATACACTATATATAATGAACATGAGAAAACCAATTACTTTAGATCTATACCATTATTGGTTTGGCCCATCTTCAAAAATCAAGCCTGATCCAGCACAACATCTATTTCATAGGGACTATTCTGAGTGCAATAGTTTTCCCCCTGTTTCCAATATAGTCCTTAAACGCAGTTCTTGACGCTCTGACGTAAGCAAACAACACCGTCAACCGTAGCTGATTCAATCCTTTTCAAACTAGGAACAAAATTTGCACAAACGAGCGCGTAGGGATGCCATTCAACACGCGCAAGTCCCTAGTTCGACCCGCCCCGACCCAACAAAACCTCCATACCTTCGGGAACAAAAAATGGCAAGAGAATCTCCGGGATCACCTCATGCCCTTCACACGGTGGCAGTGATGAGGACCTGGGAACACCTTAGCATGGCTATCTCAGTACTCCAGAAAGAATCGACTCAACCAGCACTTAATGGTACTCAGAAGAGCAGAAATCACCAAGCAGCAGCTGAACGCACACATAAAAATTCGAAGACCTTCGCGGAACATGGATGCTACGAAACAAGACGAATGCATGAACTGCTGGAATCCGAAAAATACATGCGATGTCTGGACTCTTTTATTGCATAAGCCGAATACTTTTACAATACTTGGCCGCGAAGGATCAGATTCGAAAACCTTCTTTTAAAAAAAAAGGAAAAGGCTATGTGTTTGCATTGAAAAAAGATCTATGCGACATCCGCAAAAACTGCACAAGTTCCCTACTAATCGCAGGCTACAAGTTCTCCGGTTATCCTCAACAGAACTGCCAAAACATTGGATGAATGATGGAAATGGAAGCAACAAATATCTCAAAGGGTGGACATAACCCACTGGAATACCGCAAAAGTAAAGTTTTCGGGATGCTTCACTCGACTTAAAGGCCTTCGGTTCCAGTTTCGACGAAACCGGTAAAGAAATCTAAGGCATTCAAAGGCAAACTCCACATAAACTATATATCACACACAACATTGGAAGGTTCTCTTTGGATGCGTTCAATAATGGGATGGAGTAACACAAGAGCGAGAATCGACGTGCTGCACCTACGACATCTCCACTTAGGCGATCACATCGTTATTGGGTAAAGAATTGAATGCGCAAAACGAATTTTGATTGATTTGCTGCACTAAGTATACTACATAAGTTTGGTATAAGTAAACACAACGCAATATTAGTAGATGTACAAACTTTGGTGTAATAAATATGTACTGAAAAACGTACCACACCTTTGCAAGATACAGTAAGGCTTCTCAAGTTCTTGGAGAAAATCATTGCAGTAAATTACAAGGAGAAATGAGAAAACAATGAAACCTACCAGGAGAGCCTTATACTTAGGTCGAAGTTCGAAGTTTTTCTGAAGACACTGCGAGATGAAGTCTCGAAATTGTGGAGAGAAATTCATGTTCTGTAAGCAAAAACATATGGATAAATCAGATTTCAGTTACCTATAACTAAGAAAACAAAAACTCACAAGAGGAAGAGTAGGAGAGGGATCCCGCACAATAGCGGCAAGTATTGCAAATTCAGACTCGATATGTGAATACGGATATTTCCCTGTAGCCAACTCTACTAAAGAAATTCCTACCGACCACACATCGCTTCGGATATCGTAATCCGCATTGTACTAAAACAGAAACAAAAATATGTAATAAATTCGAGGAGGGCACGCTACTATGAAACCAGCAAAACTCGCTTGTGGATCAAAACGTTCTGGAGCCATATAAGGAGGGCATCCGGCCTGAACAGTATGAGCACGAGATTCAATCAACTGCCCACTAATTCCAAAATCGCACAATTTTACCGTACCGTTCCAATCCAATAAAATATTTGACGGTTTAACGTCACGATGAATAACATTCTAAAATAGAAAAACAAGTGATATAACTATCAAAAACGATCAAGTAAACTGCGAACAAAGCAAGTGTTTCCTTTGTGGAATTCCTGCATCGAAATCACCGACACAATATTCGTTACATGACTACCGAAAAACTACTTAACAATGTTATTATTACACAGCTTATAACTACAGCTTTAGCTTAACGGGTTCAATGCCAATTTGTGCTCCTAGATCAATCCGCTGTCGGGTGATTGCTGATGGCAAAAGATGGACAGAACTAGCTGAGAGACAGGCGAAACGAAAGATCCGCATGGTGTGGTGGTGAACGCGATAGTCCTAATAGCGCGTTCGTTCCCCACCAAAGACACCGGCGATCCAGAGTTTTACAAATATCCCAGAATCATCATGGTTATATTTCACATAATACCCTGAGGTGAAAAATTATAGCAGGCAACAAATAAAAAGTTAAGAATGTTAACGTTATTCCCCAATTAAAAGTGGAAAAAATATACGGATGACACGACTGGAGTGAAATTTCGTGAAAACATTGAGTAAGAATGCAGCAATATGACAGATGAACCAAAGGAAATCAAGGATAAAAATAACTCACAAGACTGTCTTTCAGATAGTCCAGGCCTTGTAAAATACTGATGGACATCTTTCCAATATATCCTTCAGCGATTTGGATTCCCATGCGATTAGCACTACGAAGTAAGGTATGAAGACAGGATGCCATCACCTCCATACAAACCTTCACACTCGTCTACAAGAAAAAACGAACTAAACAACATAATAAGATTAGTACGAACATAATAATTTCAACAGAACACCAGACATTATTCGAAAAGTTTAAGAAGTTAGAAAGGAAATCAACAAAGTTCACCAAACTTTACGTAAGAATATATGAAGTGTAACTGCCACGACCGACTTTCTATTAACCTCGGCATTGATCAAGTGATTTTCTTCGTATTTCTGTTGAGCAAACGCGAGGTGTTACTATTCTTTGTTTACGACTAAGCTGTTTCGGCGGATTTCGCCTTCTTCAGAGCCTGGAAAGGTCAAGTTGGTAGCAATCCACTCGGCCAGACGCCTCCATAACCAAACAAAGAAAC